CTCCTGACCTCAGGTGATCCACCTGCTTTGGCCTCCCAACGTGTTGGGATTACACAGGAATGAGCCACCGCGCCTGGCCTTTACATAATTTTTTATAGAGATGAAATCTCACTGTTTTGCCCAGGCTGGTCTCAAACTCCTAGGCTCAAGCAATCCTTCTATCTCTGCCTGCCAAAGTGCTGGGATTACAGGTGTGAACCACCATGCCTGGCCTCAATTTTTTTTTTTTAGAGACAGGAGACAGGGTCTTGTTCTGTTGCCTAGACTGGTTGACTAGAGTGCTGTGGCAATTCCTGGGCTCTAAATATTTCTTTTTTATTTTTTTGAGACAAGGTTTTACTTTGTTGCCCAGGCTGGAGTGCAGTGGTGTGATCATGGCTCACCCCAGCCTTGACCTCCCAGGCTCAAGTGATCCTCCCTCCTTAGCCTCCTGAGTAGCTGGGACCGCAGGCACATGTCAGCGCGCCCGGCTAATTCTTGTGTTTTGGGGAGAGACAGGGTTTTGCTATGTTGCCTAGGCTGGCCTGGAACTCCTGGGCTCAAGCAATTAGTTCATCTTAGCTCCTTGAGTAGGTGGGACTGCAGGTGGCGCTACCACGCTCAGTTAATTTTTTGTTTATTTTTTTGTGGAGAAGAGGTCTTGCTTCTATTTTCGTGTAGTAAATTTTATTCGTTTTTTCTTTTATGCATTGTAGATTTCAAGTTTTAGTTAGAAAACTCAACCCCCTGAAGTTTAGAAAGGAATTTTCTCAGGTATATGTGTGTGTTTTTACTTTTACAGTTTACATTTAAATCTGTGGTTTCATGTTTTACATTTAAACCTTTGACTCATTTCAAGTATATCTCAGCATGTATCCTAGTGCATTTTGTTTTATTTGTTTATTATTATTATTATTATTTTTGAGACAGAGTTTCGCTCTGTCGCCCAGGCTGGAGTGCAGTGGCATGATTTCGGCTCACCACAGCCTCTGCCTCCCGGGTTCAAGCGATTCTCCTACCTCAGCCTCCTGAGCAGCTGGGATTACAAGCTGCCACCACCACATCTGGTTAATTTTTGTATTTTTAGTAGAGACGGGGTTTCACCATGTTGGCCGGGCTGGTCTTAAACTCCTGACCTCAGGTGATCTGCCTGCCTCAGCCTCCTAAAGTGCTGGGATTACAGGCGTGAGCCACTGCGCCTGGCCTTATTTGTTTTTTAAATAGAGACAGGGATCTCACTTTATTGCCCAGGCTGGTGTTGATCTCCTAGCCTCCAGCAATCCTTGTGCTTTGGCTCCCAAAGCGCTGGGATTATAGGCATGAACCACCACACTGAGCCCCTAGCGAATTTTAAATAAGATTTGCGTAGTGCCACTTTATAGACATATCTCATAGCATTTTCATGTTTAAGGATATTGCTCTGCTTAAAATGTTGCTCTTAACTGGATAACCATGATTCTTTGGAAAATTATCAGTTTTTCCATGGTTAAGTGTAGATTATTTCTCTCATCAATAGAGATAAAAGTATTAGGGAGTGTTAATTAAAAAAAAAAGTAAATAACTTCAGTAGGTCTTGCAAACGTTTATAAAAATTTTTTTCCTTTATTTTTCTTTTGTTTATAATCTGCATTCTGCTGAATTAATTAATTAATTAATTTTTTTATTTTGAGGCAGGTTCTTTGTTACCCAGGCTGGAGTGCAGTGGCGCAGTCACTGCAGCCTCAATCTCCCAGGCTCAGGTGATCTTCCCGCCGAAGACTCCCAAGTAGCTGGGAATACAGGCGTGTGCCACCACACTCAGCTAATTTTTTTGTACTTTTTGTAGAGATGGGGTTTTGCCATGTTGCCCAGTCTGGTCTCCCACCCTTGGGCTCAAGTGATCCTCCTGACTCAACTTCCCAAAATTGTTGGGATTACAGGCGTGAGCCACTGTGCCCAGTCAAACATTTTAAAAACACTAATTAACAATAAGTAACAATCCTATCAGCTAAATAGGAGAACAGTGATACTCATCTGAAGTTTGTGTTTTTCTAAATTGTGGTGAAAATATATATAACATAAAATTTACTGTTTTCAAGTAGGCAGCTCAGTCAGGTGCAGTGGCTCACGCCTGTAATCACAGCACTTTGGGAGGTTGAGGTGGGCACATCACCTGAGTCCAGGAGTTCAAGAGCAGCCTGGGTAACAGTGAGACCCACTTCTCTACCAAAAATACAAAAACTAGCCTGCTGTGGTGGCGCACGCCTGTAGTCCCAGCTACTTGGGAGGCTGAAGTGGGAGTATCACTTGAGCCTGGGAGGCAGAAGTTGTAGTGAGCGGAAATCGAGCCACTGCACTCCAGCCTTGGCTACAACAACAAAAATGTAGGCAGCTCAGAGCTCAGTACTGTTAAGTGTGCTTACATTATCATATAACCAATCTCCAGATCATTTTCTTTTTTGTAACTTTAATTTTTTTTTTTTTGATATGGAGTTTCACTCTTGTTGCCCGGGCTGGAATGCAATGGCACGATCTTGGCTCACTGCAACCTCCACCTCCTGGGTTCAAACGATTCTCCTGCCTCAGCCTCCGGAGTAGCTGGCATTACAGGCATCCACCACCACACCTGGCTAATTCGTTTTGTATTTTTAGTGGAGACAGGGTTACGCCATGTTGGCCAGGCTGGTCTTGAACTCCTGGGCTCAGGTGATCCACCTGTCTTGGCCTCCCAAAGTGCTGGGATTACAGGTGTGAGCCACTGTGCCTGACCTGTAACTTTAATTTTAATTTTAGGGATAGGTCTTACTTTGTTGCCCAGGCTAGAGTACAGTGGCACAACCATGGCTCACTGTAACCTCAGTCCTCCTGCTTCAGCCTCCCCAGTAGCCAGGACTGTAGGCTCACACCGCCATGTTCAGCTATTTAAAGAATTGTTTGGCCTGTAATCCCAGCACTTTGGGAGGCTGAGGTGGGCGGATCACAAGATCAGGAGATCGAGACCATCCTGGCTAACATGGTGAAACCTTGTCTCTACTAAAAATACAAACAATTAGCCGGGTGTGGTGGCAGGCGTCCGTAGTCCCAGCTACTCGGGCGGCTGAGGCAGGAGAATGGTGTGAACCCTGGAGGTGGAGCTTGCAGTGAGCTGAGATTGCACCACTGCACTCCAGCCTGGGCGACAGAGCGGTCCATCTCAAAAAAAAAAAAAAAAAAAAAAAAGAATTGTTTTGTAGAGACAGGGTCTCATTATGTTGCCCAGGCTGGTCTGGAACTCCTGGCCTCAAGTGATCCTCCTGCCTCAGCCTCCTAACTAGCTGGGACTATAAGCATGGGCCACCATGCCTTGCTTCATGTTGCAGAATTGAAACTATATCCATTAAGCAACAATTCCACATTCCCTCAACCCCCTCACACCCAGCAACCACTATTCCACTTTCTGTCTATGAATTTGACTATTCTAGATACCTCATGTGAGTGGAATCATACAATATTTGTGTGTGAGAGGTTTACTTCACTTAGTGTAATGTTCCCCAAGCTCACCTATGTTGTAGCATATATCAGAATTTGTTACTTTTTTTTTGTTGTTTGAGATGGAGTCTTGCTCTATCATCCAGGCTGGAGTGCAGTGGCACGATCTCAACTCACTGCAACCTGTGCCTCCTGGATTCAAGCGATTCTCCCACCTCTGCCTCCTGAGTAGTAGCTGGGATTATAGGCATGTGCTGCCACCCCTGACTAATTTTGTGTGTGTGTGTGTGTGTGTTTGTGTGTGTGTATTTTTAGTAGCAACAGGGTTTTGCCATGTTGGCCAGGGAGGTCTGGAACTCCTGACCTCAGGTGATCTGCCCATCTCAGCCTCCCAAAGTGCTGGGATTACAGGCATGAGCCACCGTGTCTAGCCAGAATTCATTACCTTTTTTTTGAGATGGAGTCTCGCTTTGTCGCCCAGGCTGGAGTCAGTGTCATGATCTCGGCTCACTGCAACCTCCGCCTCCCGGGTTCAAGCGATTCTCCTGCCTCAGCTTCCCAAGTAGCTGGAACTACAGCCGCGTGCCACCACACCTGGCTAATTTTTGTATTTTTAGTAGAGATGGGGTTTCACCATATTGGCCAGGCTGGTCTTGAACTCCTGACCTTGTGATCTGCCCGCCTTGGCCTCCCAAAGTGCTGGGATTACAGGTGTGAGCCACCACGCCCTGCCATAATTTGTTACTTTTTAAGGTTAAATAATATTCCATTGTATGTATACATCACATTTCTTTATCCATTTCTCTTTCTATGGACACATGGATTGCTTCAGTTCCCACCTGAACTTTGAGGATGACCTCTTGACAGGCAGCTCTCTTGCTCTCATGACCTAAGTTATCACAAGCACACCCTAGACAAGGTCTTTTGTCTCTTCTCAGGCAGAGTCTTAGATTCACTTCAGCTGCTGTCACTTCAAGATACAAATAGGACAAGATTTTGCCTTCAAAGTCTGCACTCTAGGACTTCCCTTACTTATCTGCCTGACGTGGTCATTGCACTCTAGCACAGATGACTGCTTTAAGTTAATAATTAAACTTTAGCACATTGAGAGGGAATTAGGAGGTGTCAGCAGTGGTGATGAGTTTCACACCAACTCATGTTACCCAGTTTAACACCTGTTTAAAGCATTGACTTGGGGATCCTGGATATTCTAGGTGTTAGGGTGCTGCAATCCCCTGGAACTGTGTTAGTTAATTTTATTTTATGAGTGTGCATAAAATACCTTCTATCTGTGGGGCTGGTATGGGGCTTGGTGCTTAGAACACATAGATGGACGAGATCTTTCCCAGCAAGGAGCTGAGAGCTTAGTGAAGAAAGAGTGAAAAGTCCACAGTGAGAACATGGAGGTGCACATACCCGGGCTACAGGCACTGCCTCTGCCTGATCCGGTCCTGACACTGAAAAATGTGCAGATGATAAGAAGACAAGCCATGTGCCTTGATCATGATGTTTGGATACCTTCAGTTTGCCTTTTTCTGATGGGACTTTCCTCTCTTAATTTTTTTGTTATTTAGGAGAACTCCCGGAAGCCCCATCTTCCTCCTCATGCCCATTGCCTGACCAGAGCCACCCTGCACTCAAGAGAGCTTCTCAGTTTGCTCAGTGTAAGTATGTGGTCCACTTTAAACCTGGGTTTGGCTTGCTGTGGAGCAGAGCTTCGAGAACATCGTATGTCCATCTCCCTACTGCTAGGGCCACTCCTTGGCTTACTGCACATGAGTGTGTTCCCTATACTAGGTCCCTCCACGAGGGGAGCTGATTGCAAAGGCAAAGCAGGTTGAGACTCTAGATCCAAGAGCACTCAAGAGTCCAGCCAACCTTTGAGCCTCTCTGCTGTGGCCACCAACTACAGCCAAATACCCAAACCTGCTGAGGTATTTCTGCATCTGTGCTGTGGCCACCAACTACAACCAACTGCCTTTTCCTAAACCTGCTGAGATATTTCTGCCATCTCAGTCTGGGACAGTCCTTAAGAGCATGGATCCCGGAGCCAGACTGCTTGGGTTTGAAGCCCAGCAGCTCCACTAACTAGCTGTGTGATCTTGAACAAGTCACTTAAACTCCTAGAGCCTGGGTTTCCTCATCTGTAAAACGGAGATAATATAGTACTTCTCTTGCGGGATTGCTATGAGGGTTAAGTGAGTGAGTATGAGTAAAACACCTGGAGTAGTCATGTTTTATAAGAGTTAGCAATTTATTCACTCAATAGGAAACCGTATTAAATATACAAAGTGAATAAGATATGGTCCTTCATCAGGAAGTTTCAGTTTAACTGGGAAGGTATAAACAGCTAGATAGATAGAAGATGGGCCAGGCACGGTGGCTCATGCCTATAATCCCAGCACTTTGGGAGGCCGAGGCAGGTGGATCACTTGAGGTCGGGAGTTCGAGACCAGCCTGGCCAACATGGAGAAACCCCGTCTCTACTAAAAATACAAAATTAGCCAGGCATGGTGGTGCATGTCTGTAATCACAGCTTCTCTGGAGGCCGACGCAGGAGAATTGCTTGAACCTGGGAGGCAGAGGTTGTGGTGAGCTGAGATCGTGCCATTGCACTCCAGCCTGGGCAACAAGAGCAAAACTCTGTCTCAAAAAATATATATATATAGGTAGGTAGGTAGGTAGGTAGGTAGGTAGGTAGATAGATAGATAGAAGCTGGTAAGTATCATGAGAGAACACATAAAGCACCAGAGGTGTTGAGAAAAGCAAGAGATGACTTTGCTGGGTGGGATGCCAAGAGGGCTTCCTAAAAGATGACTAGTGGGTTAGTAAAAATTAATATGGGAAAGGGGTATTGTTGATATAATAATATCAGAGGTATGTATAGAAAATTGCAAGTCAATGTACCAATTTTTTGTTGTTTGCTTGCTTATTTTTGTAGAGACAGGGTCTCTCTATGTTGCCCAGGCTGGTCTGGAACTCCTCGTCTCAAGTGATCCTCCCACCTCAGCCTCTCAAAGTGCTGGGATTCCAGGCATGAGCCACTGTGCCTGGCTTGAATTTTTTTTTTTTTTTTTTTTTTTGAGAAGGAGTTTCGCTCTTGTTGCCCAAGCTGGAGTGCAATGGCACGATCTCGGCTCACTGCAACCTCTGGCTCCTGGGTTCAAATGATTCCCCTGCCTCAGCCTCCCGAGTAGCTGGGATTACAGGCATGTGCTACCATGCCTGGCTAATTTTTTGTATTTTTAGTAGAAACGGGGTTTCACCAGGTTAGCCATGGCTGGTCTCAAACTCCTGACCTCGTGATCTGCCCGCCTCAGCCTCCCAAAGTGCTGGGATAATAGGTGTGGGCCACCGTTTGTTTGTTTGTTTTGTTTTGTTTTGTTTTTGAGACAAAATCTTCTCTGTTCCCCAGGCTGGAGTGCAGTGGCACATCTTGGCTCACTGCAACCTCTGCCTCCCAGGCTCAAGCAATTTTCCTGCCTCAGCCTCCCGAGTAGCTGGGATTACAGGCATGAGCTACTATGCCCAGCTAATTTTTTTTTTTTTTTTTTTGAGACGGAGCCTCGCTCTGTCGCCCAGGCTAGAGTGCAGTGGCGTGATCTCGGCTCACTGCAAGCTCTGCTACAGGAGCCTACCACCATGCCTGGCTAATTTTTTGTGTTTTTAGTAGAGACAGGGTTTCACCGTGTTAGTCAGGATGGTCTTGATCTCCTGACCTTGTGATCTGCCTGCCTCGGCCTCCCAAAGTGCTGGGATTAGAGGCGTGAGCCACCGCGCCGGGCTGGCCTGATTTTTAAAATTGACATATAATAATTGTATAGTCTGGGTGCAGTGGCTCATGCCTGTAATCGCAGCACTTTGGGAGGCTGAGATGGCAGGATTGCTGGAGCTCAGGAGTTCAACACCAGCCTGGGAAACATGGCAAAATCCTGCTTCTTTTCTAAATAAATTTTTAAAATAAATAAATGTAGTCATTGTACATATTTATGGGATACATAGTGATGTTTTAATACATATGATGCATAGTGATCAGATCAAGGTAGTTAGCTTATCTATCATCTGAAACATTTATCATTTCTTTCTGTTGGGTGATGTACCAATTTTAATGCCAGTGTGAGTGAAACGTCACACCAAATAATTTTAATGCCAGTGTGAGTGAAACATCCCACCGAATAATTTTAATGCCAGTGTGAGTGAAACATCACACCGAATAATTTTAATGCCAGTGTGAGTGAAACATCACACCAAATAATTTTAATGCCAGTGTGAGTGAAACATCCCACCGAATAATTTTAATGCCAGTGTGAGTGAAACATCACACCAAAAGATACAAAGTTGCTTTTTGCTATTCCCAGACTTCTTAGCATGGATGGTCAAAAGATGACTGGCCATGTTCTTGGTATTCTTTTTTTTTTCCCAAAGGGGCCATCCATCCAACCTTTAACTTGAAGAGCCTTTCCTGCAGCCTGGAGGTGTCCACGGATTCCCGTACAGTGACTGTGTCTCACCGCCCACAACCCTATCGCTGGAGCTGTGAGAGGTTTTCTACCAGCCAGGTCTTGTGTTCCCAGGCCCTCTTTTCTGGAAAGCATTACTGGGAAGTGGACACTAGGAACTGCAGCCACTGGGCAGTTGGGGTGGCTTCCTGGGAGATGAGCCGTGACCAGGTCCTGGGAAGGACTATGGACTCTTGTTGTGTGGAATGGAAGGGGACTAACCAGCTCTCTGCATGGCACATGGTCAAGGAAACTGTCCTTGGCTCAGACAGACCTGGGGTGGTGGGCATCTGGCTGAACCTTGAGGAGGGGAAGCTTGCCTTCTATTCGGTGGACAATCAGGAGAAGCTTCTGTACGAGTGTACCATCTCTGCCGCCTCTCCTCTGCACCCTGCCTTCTGGCTGTATGGCTTACATCCTGGAAACCACCTGATAATAAAGCAAGTAAAGGTGTAAGGTTTCCTCAGGGATTACAACACAGTGGTTTCCTGGTCTCTCTCCCTGTCATCAATCAGGGTAGTAACTTCAGAATACCACTTTTATTTTATTTTATTTATTTATTTATTTTTTTTGAGACAGAGTCTCGCTTAGTCGCCCAGGCTGGAGTGCAGTGGCGCGATCTCGGCTCACTGCAAGCTCCGCCTCCCGGGTTTACGCCATTCTCCTCCTGCCTCAGCCTCCCGAGTAGCTGGGACTACAGGCGCCCGCCGCCTCGCCCGGCTAATTTTTTGCATTTTTAGTAGAGACGGGGTTTCACCGTGTTAGCCAGGATGGTCTCGATCTCCTGACCTTGTGATCCACCCGCCTCGGCCTCCCAAAGTGCTGGGATTACAGGCGTGAGCCACCGCGCCCGGCCGTTTTTTTGTTTTTTTTTTTTTTGGTTTTTTTTTTTTTGAGACAGAGTCTCGAAGAATACCACTTTTAAGAAAAATTACAATAGCGACTGGATCTCCCTAGGTTGCCCAGGCTGGCGTCGAATTCCTGGCCTTAAGCAGTCCTCCCACCTCAGCCTCCCAAGGTGCTGGATTACAGGTGTGAGCCACAACACCTGGCCAAGAATACCACTTTTGAAGTTAATCCTTTTGTGTGATACAGGATGAACTTGGGATGTTTGAACCCTGGACATTCCAAATAAAGGACAGGCCCCTGCCTGGCTCCTGGGAGATAACCTCTAAGCCATTAGAATATCCTGCCTGATAAGAGTGTTTTTGTTTACCTGTGGGCCTTGGGCCATGCAGTATTAGCTTGACCTAGCCGGGCGCGGTGGCTCAAGCCTGTAATCCCAGCACTTTGGGAGGCCGAGACGGGCGGATCACGAGGTCAGGAGATCGAGACCATCCTGGCTAACACAGTGAAACCCCGTCTCTACTAAAAAATACAAAAAACTAGCCAGGCGAGGTGACGGGCGCCTGTAGTCCCAGCTACTCGGGAGGCTGAGGCAGGAGAATGGCGTAGACCTGGGAGGCGGAGCTTGCAGTGAGCTGAGATCCGGCCACTGCACTCCAGCCTGGGCGACAGAGCGAGACTCCGTCTCCAAAAAAATAAATAAATAAATAAATAAGTATTAGCTTGACCTTGCAAGGTCAAGCTGAGGAGACTAAGTCAGCCATGTGGGCAGTGAAGCATGCCTATGTGACCAATCTCCAGTAAAAGCCCTAGACACCAAGGCATGGCTGAGCTACCCTGGTTGGTAATACTCTGTGCACACATCATTGTGTCCACACATCATTGCTGGGAGAATTAAGCATTATCCTGAAGACTCTGCCAGGAGAGGATAATTGGAAGTTCTCTTGGACCTTGCCTCCTGTGCCTTTCTTCATTGCTGATTTTAATCTGTAGCCTTTCACTGTAATAAACTGTAACCATGAGTACAACAGCTTTGCTGAATTCTGTGAGTCCTTCTAGGGAATCACTGAACCTGAGGACAGTCTCAGAGGATCTCTAAACACAATTTGCTACTTATCAATCGCTATGAAGAATATTGCCACAAATTTAATGGTTTAAAATAACACATATATATTATTTCACACTTTCTGTGAGTCAGGAGTCAGGGCATAGCTTAGCTGAGCTCCTACATCGGAGTTTTACAAGCTGCAGTCAACATGTCATCTGGGGACACAGGGTCATCAGAGGCTCGAATGGGGAAGGATCTGCCTCCAAACTCACATGGTTGTTGGCAGCCTTCAGTTCCTTGTGAGTTGCCGGACTGAGGGCCTCAGTTTCTTTCTGGTTGTTGGCTGGAGACCACCCTCAGTTCCTTACTCCATAGGCCTTTGCAACACAGCTGCTTGCTTCCTCAAAGCCAACAAGGGAGAGGGTATCCTAGCCAGATGACACAAAATCTCACATAGCTAACAAACCTGCACGTTATGCACATGTACCCTACAACTTAAAGTATAATAATAATAAATAAATTAAAAAAAAAAAATCTCACATAGCATAACCACATAAACACGTAATCATGTACATCCCATTGCCTTTGCCTTCTGTTGATTAGAAGCAAGTCACGGTACCACCCACACTCCAGGGGAGGGGATTACAGAAGGACATGAATGCCAGGAAGTGGGGCTCACGGGGGCCACCCTACAGTATGTCTGACACAGGGTGTTATTTCATACTTGATTTCCCCTATTTTTAACAACCATTTTATTGTATAAGAAAACAGATACAGAAAACTACATGAAACATGTGGAGCTTAATGAGTTATTATAAGGTAAATACCCTTGTAACTATCATTCACGTCAAGAAATAGAACCTACTACCCGCCCCAGAAGCTCCTTCCTGTGCCCCATTCTAATCACAAAACCCTCCCTGTGCCTGAAAGGAGTCTTGACTTTCACACCAATCACTTCCTTGCATTTCTTTAGAGTTTTATCACTCAAATATGCATCCATAGCCACAGTAGTTTCATCTTGCCCATTAAAAAAAATGGTATGTCCTTTCCTTTAACAGCTTTGTTGGGAATATTATTTATTTATTTATTTTATTTTGGAGACAGGGTCTCACATTGTCACCCAAGCTGGAGTACAGTGGTGTGAATCTTGGCTCACTGCAACCTCTGCCTCCCGGGTTCAAGTGATCCTCAGCCTCCCGAGCAGCTGGGATTACAGGCATGCGCCACCACGCCCAGCTAATTTTTGCATTTTTAGTAGAGATGGGGTTTCACCATGTTGCCCAGGCTGGTCTCGAACTCCTGAGCTCAAGCAATCAGCCTACCTCAGCCTCCCAAAGTGCTAGGATTACAGGCGCGAGCCACTGCGCCTGGCTGACATATAATTTACATTCTATGAAATTCACTTAAGGTGTACAAATATATGTTTTTTACTGTATTTACAGAGTTGTAAAACCATCACCATAATCTAATTTTAGGATATTGTCATCACCCCCAGAAAGAACCCTCATACCCATTATTTGATGTCTCTTATCTCCTAATATACATGTCTCTCTTTCTCTTTTTTTTTTTTGTCTTACAATTCATCCATATAAGAGCTCTGCTGTTGACTTGTACCTATTCTGAAGATGGGGACGTTCAGCTCCTGAACTAGGTTGAAGAGAAAGCCCTGTCATGCAAACCAGCCAGGCAGCATTTGACAGTATAAACTCTTCTTGCCTTTCTTTCCCCTCTAAAATGGACATCATAATTATTTGCCCGTCCTTACCTTCCTCACAGGGTTGCTGAAAGCATTAAATAAAGTTGGAGGTGAGGAAATCGGAAGAATACAAGGGTGATGATAATCACAGCAGCAATGACGGAATTGCATCTTAATATCACCCACCTTGGCCTTTATCATCCTGAGACTCACGCCTAATTTCTATACATGGTTAATCGCTCCTTCAAAACAGGGGCAAGCAGAATTCTTCCACATGGTCTACTAATATGCTTTCTGAGCCTCACCACTGCCCTGTGTGATGGGCATTATTACCTTCTTGTTGATGCGTAAGGAAGCAGAGGCTGGGACACGCGTGGTGGTTTGTCCAGGGTTGATCAGCCAGTCATGGCAGAGCTGAAACCAGGCCTAGTTTTCTCACTTTTTTTTCTTTCCTTTTTTTTTTAAAGTCTTGCTCTGTCGCTCAGGCTGGAGTGCAGTGGTGTGATCTCGGCTCACTGCAACTTACGCCTCCAGGGTTCAAGTGATTCTCGTGCCTCAGCCTCCCAAGTAGGTGGGATTATAGGTGTGCACCCCCATGCTCGGCTAATTTTTGTATTTTTAGGAGACACAGGGTTTTACCATGTTGTCCAGCCTGGTCTCGAATTCCTGACCTCAAGTGATCTACCTGCCTCGGCCTCCCAAAGTTCTGGGATTACAGGTTTGAGCCACCACGCCTGACCGGTTTTCTCACTCTGAAGCCTCTCCCCTTGTTACTCTCCGATAAGGTCCTATGCTAAGGCCAGGACCTGGCCTTCCGCTTTGATGGGACACAGCTAGCCCTAAAGTCATGAGGTACCCTTTCTTTCTGATTTTGGTGGTTGTCCTTAATATAGTGGCCTTGAGTTGTCTAAGCAGGGACAGGGGTTCCCTGTTTGTGCCAAGTGACCACTAAGAAGCTATGCGTGGCCGGGTGTGGTGGCTCACACCTATAATCTCAGCACTTTTGGAGGCTGAGGTGGATGGTTCACCTGAGGTCAGGAGTTCGAGACCAGCCTACTTAACATGGTGAAAACTTGTCTCTACTAAAAATACAAAAATTAGCTGGGCATAGTAGCACGCACCTGTAATCCCAGCTATTTGGACGCTGAGGCAGGAGAACCGCTTGAGCCCGGGAGGCGGAGGTTGCAGTGAGCCATGATTGTGCCACTGTACTCCAGCCTGGGTGATAATCGAGACTCTGTCTCAAAAATAAATAAATAAGGCTGGGCGCAGTGGCTCACGCCTGTAATCCTAGCACTTTGGGAGGCTGAGGCAGGCGGACCACAAGGTCAAGAGTTCAAGACCAGCCTGGCCAATATGGTGAAACCCCATCTCTACTAAAAATACAAAAATTATCTGGGCATGATGGCGGGCACCTGTAGTCCCAGCTACTTGGGAGGCTGGGGCGGGAGAACCGCTTGAACCCAGGAGATGGAGGTTGCAGTGAGCCGAGATTACACAACTGCACTCCAGCCTGGCAGACAGAGCGAGACTCTGTCTCAAAAATAAATAAACAAATAAATAAAAAGAAGCTATGGGCCCTCACTTTCTGCATCATGGAGCTTTTATCTTCTCACCCAGAGTTACTTTGATGTTTGCCTTTTGAGTCAAGATTCAGAGTTTGGAGTGCAGGGTTTTAGCCTCTTGAGGTTCTTTGGTTAAATATTGTCCTCTCAGACAGTATGTATTGCAATGAGGCCTCTGCGAGTGTTGGTTTTATCTGCTGGCCACGTGATGTCCCCAGACTGGAGCCAGAGCACTAGAATCAGAAAGATAGGAAAGGAAGGAAGGCTATCACTTTTGATTCCTTTGCTTTTGGCTTGCACTTTGTGTCAGCGTATCTCTTCCAGGACACTGTAGAAAATAGTGTCCTTCCCTCAAACAAAACGTAAAATCTCCAAAGGAGAATAACTAAAGCTGAAATGCCAGTGGATGAGGACCTGTCACTGGGGTCTGCACTGTGGGGGTGAGGAAATCATCTGCCCGTGGACCAAGCCAGAAAGACTTTCCCTGGGGACTGTCTCAGTCCATTCGGGCTACTATAACAGACTGCCATAGACTGGGTGGCTTACAAAAACCAGAAATGTATTTCTCAGCTGAGTATGGTGACTCACTCCTGCAATCCCAGCACTCTGGGAGGCCAAAGCAGGAGCAACACTTGAGCCCAGGAGTTTGAGACCAGCCTGGACAACAAACAGACCCCATCTCCACAAAATCTTTATATTGGCTGAGTGTGATGGCATGTGCCTGGAGTCTCAGCGACTCCGGAGACTGAGGCTGGAGGACTGCATGGGCCCAGGAGGTCAAGGCTGTAGTGAGCTGTGATCATGCCACTGCACTCCAGCCTGGGTGACAGAGCAAGACCGTCTAAAAGAAACAAAGAGAGAGAGAGGAGGGAGGGAGAGAGAGAGCAAGAGAGAGGAAGAGAGAGGGGGGAGAAGAAAAAAGAGAAAAGAAAAAGAAAGAAAGAAAAGAAAAGAATTTTATTTATCACAGTTCTGGAGGCTGGGGAGTCCAAAATCAAGGTGCTGGCAGATTTGGTGTCTAGTGAGGGAGCACTCAGGAGTTCCCCCACCTCCCTTTTTTTTTTTTTTTTTTTTTTGAGTCAGAGTCTCACTCTGTCATCCAGGACGGAGTGAAGTGGCTTCACGGAGTGAAGTGATCTTGGCTTACTGCAACATCTGCCTCCCGGGTTCAAGCAATTCTCTCTGCCACAGCCTCCGGAGTAGCTGGGATTACAGGTGCCCGCCACCACACCTGGCTTATTTTTGTATTTTTTAGTACAGACGGTTTCATGGTGTTGGCTAGGCTGGTCTTGAACTCCTGATCTCTGGTGATCCACCCACCTCAGCCTCCCAAAGTGCTGGGATTACAGTCACTAATCTCATTCATGAAGCCTCTATCTTCATGACCTAATCACCTCCCAGTACCGTCACATTTGGGGTTAGGATTTCAGTACATGAATTTTGGGAGAACACAAACATTCAGTCTGTAGGAGAGACACACAGCCTCATGGGAGAGCACCAGGAACTCCTTTGGCAGCTTCTTGTGCTATCTGGGGACACTGTTCTAAAAAATTTGTTTTCTGTGAGGCCTTGTCTCTCTTAAGTGCTTTTTCTCCTGGGGGTTGGGGAGAATGGAGTGTCCTCATCAGTGCTGTGGGCTGCTTCTCTCTTTCTCTCTTCTCTTCCACTCACACACTCTGGTGAGGCAGCTGCTGGATAGTTCTGTCGAACCCACTATTGGATCCGGGGCTTTGGGTTCCTGGAAGACCACCTGCTAAGCAGGAAGCCACCATCTTGTTAGGCTTGAGGAAACCTCTAAAATAGTTATATCTATCTGTTCCTTGCTTCTCTCTCAAATGCTGTTTTGTTTTGTTTTTGAGACAGTCTCACTCTGTTGCCTAGGCTGGAGTGCAGTGGCACAATCTTGGCTCACTGCAACCTCCATCTCTCAGGTTGAAGTGATTCTCCTGCCTCACGTGCCATCACGCCTGCCTAATTTTTTATACTTTTAGTAGAGACCGGGTTTCGCAATGTTGGCCAAGCTGGTCTTGAACTCCTGACCTCAAGTGATCCACCCATCTTGGTCTCCCAGAGTGCTGGGATTACAGGGGTGAGCCACTGTGCTGGCCTTATTTTTATTTCATTTTATGTTATTTATTTTTTTAGACAGAGTCTTGCTCTGTCACCC